ATGGGGATCTGTTCTGTTCTCAGATGAGACCAAAATATGCCTCTTTGGTAGCGACCGAAGAAGGAAAGTGTACCGGAGACCAGGAGAGAGATTTGTAGAATGCTGCTTTGAAGAGCGAAGTGCTTATGGTTCCTGCATGATCTGGGGTGCAATTTCTATAGGAGCACGAACCGATCTTGAGTTCATTCGTAGGGACGACCGTGTTCACGGAAGAAGAGGTTTAACGGCAGCCAGATATATCGAGGAGATTTTAGCAATTTATGTGGTACCTTACGTCGACTACATTGGAGACGAATTTATCTTTATGAATGACAATGCAAGGGCACACACCGCAATAATCGTGCAAGATTACATTGCAGAAGTCGGTTTTCAGGTTATAGACTGGCCAGCAAACAGTCCTGACCTAAATCCGATCGAACATTTATGGTATAAGCTAAAACGAAGAATTCGAGCTAGACTTCATACCCCAGACTTGATCCCATTCTTGCAGCAGAAGAAGAGTCGCTTAACATCCCACAAGCAACAATAGCCAACTTGATTAGATCTATGCCTAATCATATTAGAGATGTTATTAGGGCAAGAGGAGGTCATACCCATTATTAAAAAATTAAGTGTTAGGTTTTAAATTGTCAATAACCCTATTTCTGTTAATAATAAAAAAAGCTTAATTTGCTTAATGAATTCATTTCACTATGTTAAACATAGGAAGCCGAAATAAGTTTTCATAAATTTATACTCACATTAAAGCATATTAAATTGTCTTTCAAACAGTAAATTTGTTTTTGTGATCTGATGAATATTTCTTGAAAAAAATATCTCTATTTATCTCGGTCGTTCCAGAGGTTTTCTTCAACTCCCTTCTCCCTTAAGTCTTTATCGGTTCCTTCTCTCCAACTTAATCTGGGTCTACCTTGCTTTCTTCTTCCATGCGGTGTCCAGTTCAATACTTTCTTTGGTATTCTGTGTTCATCCATTCTTTGGACGTGTCCATACCATCTTAGTTGATTTACTCTGATGTCCTCTGTTAAATTGTTTTTAACACAAATAAATTTCTCATATTCTTCCGTTTCTAACTCTGTCTAATCTTGATTTTCCAGCCGCTCTTCTCTAGAAGTCCATTTCTGTTGCTTCGAATGCTTTTAAGTTTTTTCCTTTCAGTGGCGATTCTACATCCATATCCCAATTATTTGGGACCTCTATGTCACCTTTGGATTTGAGTTCCAATTTCGGGGGTTTCACCACCCTCCCTGGTTGGCACCCATATTATACACTCACTGTAAACTAAGTTTCTTATAAAACTTACTACACCAGAAATTTTAACAAAATTATTCGAAATTGGACATTGTTGTTAATTACTTCGCACTCGATAAATCGACCGGTTGATTCAATGATCAACAACGAACTGAAATTTTTTGATCATATTGTACTAAACTGTTTAGACTATGTTTTGTATAAATTTCAAATCTTCTTCCTCTTCCTCCTCTTCTTATTCTTCTACATCTTCTTCTTCTTCCTCCTCCTCTTATTCTTCTTCATCTTCTTCTTCTTCTTCTTTTTAAATAGACATGACTTTGTCTGTTTTTCAATGTGCCTCCAGTAAGTTGTTATTCCATCGTTTTCGTGCTCTTCCTACTGATCGTCTTCCTATTGGAGAACCTTCTTTTGCCGTCTTTACTACTCTGTTTGTTGTCCACCAGTTCTTGATGTTCTCCACCTTGCATCTATGTCGTATATCTGTACTTCTAGCTCTGTTCCATAGCGTCTTACCATCAATTTTTCTAATTGTTTTCATCTCTGCTGTTTTTAATATCATTTTTGTCCTCTCTCTGTCAGGTCTTTTTTCTGCCGCGTATGTCATTATTGTTCTGATGACTGTTTTGTATATTCTGCCTATCGTTTCTTTCCCGATATTTTTATTTCTCCATTTTGTTTCATTTAGGCAGCCTGCGGCTCTGTTTGCTCTATTCACTTGATCTTCCACTTCGGTTTCGAGCTTTCCGTAGCTAGATAATGTCTAGATATTTAAACTACATCACTCTCCAATTTATATCTTAGTAAATTTGCTGTTGTAACCATCCATTTTGTCTTTGTTGGGAAAATTAACATGTTAACTTGTCTGGCGGTTATATTAAATTGGTGCAGCGTACGTTGTAAATCATCTTCACTTTGAGAGAGTAGTATTGCGTCGTCTGTCGTCGTAATAGCAGAATATTTTAAGTTGTTTTTCTCCTATTTGGTATCCTTTTTTTGTTCTTACTTTTTTTATTATTTCATCCATAATAAAATTAAACAATAGAGAACTCAGCTAATCTCTCTGTCTTATCCCATTGCCAGCTTCAATAGGGTCGGGTTTACGGTAATCTATAAAACAGATGTATAGTGGGATGTTGAATTCCCTAGATTTCTCGATTATTTGTCTTATATTCAGCAGGTGTTCTCGAGTGCCTCTACCTTTGGTAAATCCAGTTTGCTCTTGTGGAATTTCTCTTTGAAGGAATGTTTTCAGTCTCTCATTAATTATATGTAACATTATCTTGCTGGCATGGGATATAAGAGAGATAGTTCTATAATTGTCGCATTTATGGAAGCTGCCTTTTTTATGTATGGTCGTTTTTTTATAGATTTTGTCCAGTCTTCAGGCCATTGTTTGGAATGCCATATTTGGTTACAGAGTAGATGAAGTAACTTTACGCCGGTTTCTTCTGTGGCTTTAAGCATTTCTGCTGTTATCATATCTGGACCTAGTGCTTTGTTATATTTGAGGTTGTTGATAGCCTGTCTTACTTCATTTTCGAATATATCAGGTTCTTCTTTCACCTCGTCAGAGATTTGGCTAACAAGCTCTTGGCGTTGATCATCTTTATATAGGTTTCTGCAATACGATCTCCATGTCTCTGCTTGTTTTTAGGGTTTCAGTGTTATCTTCAATGGCCTAAGTTCTGGCTCTGAAGTCTCTTGTCAGGTAGCGTATTTTTCTAAATAGATCTCTCGGCTGATTATTCTGACCATGTCTCTCAATTTCTTTGCATATACTTTGATAGTACTGTTTTTTGTCGGCCTTACATCTTCGTTTTATTTCTTTATTGAGGTTTCTTAAACTAGCTTTTTTCCTTTTACTATGTACACCACTTTTACAAAGATTTCTTCTATTCTCAATTATTTTAAGAGTTTCATCTGTTATCCAGTGTTTCCGTTTCACAGGAATATTTTTCTTTGAACTGGTGTTGTTACGCAATGTTTTTTTGTTGTTACGCAACAGTCTCCCATATTTTTTGTGATGTTCCGTTACGAATAGAGGGCATACTTTTCTGTACTTCCTGTAGAAGGTCGTCTTTCTTGCTTAGTTCTATCCTCTTTATCTCTCTTTGTTTGTTGGGTGCTTTAAGTTTAAGCATTACTTTAGCTACGAGGAGAGTATGATGGGATCCGCATATCGCCCCTGGATATGATCTGGCTGTTTGTATGGACGATCTCCAGCGAATATTGGTGAGGACGTAATCTATTTGATTTCTAAATCTATCATCAGGACTTTTCCAAGTATATAGTCGACGTTGTTGAGACATCTTACGTCAATTATTTTTGATGGATGTATATCTCTGTTGGTTATAATATAATATATCATAGATGTTTGTCCACGAGTGTTATTAAATGTATATTTGTTTTGGTCTTTGTGGTCAAGAAATGTGTTGTTTATTAGTAGTTCGTTATTCGTGCAAAAGTTGATCATGATTTCTCCATTTTCGTTTTTAAGATTCTTGTTATATTTTTGTTTTATGTCGGGTAGTACTTGGTTGCCTTATAATATTATCGTCTTTCCTGTGATTTGATCTACTACTTGTTGTAATTGGTCGTAAAATGCTTCCCTTGTTGTTTTGGTACATTTGGTATATTAGTAAGGCTACACCTTCTTTGGCCTTGCTTTCTTTTGCTACACCACTGTAGATTAGTATGTATTAACCTTATTTTGGTTGACCTTTTTTCTTCTTTCTTGTTTCCTGTAGAGCACAAATGTCTATTTCTTTCTCTGTCAGCACTTGGGTTATTTCTTGGTCCCTTGAGTTGAGTGATCTGATATTCCAAATAGTAATTCTCATCTCACATGTTTGGTTTGGTTAACCAAACATGTGAGATCCAAAGAAGAATTACTTTAACATGGGCAGCCTTTGGAAAACTGCGAGACACACTTAGGGCCAACATACCAATCAGCCTCAAAAGAAAAGTGTTTGACCAAGGCGTATTACCGGTCATGACTTATGGGGCGGAAACTATGACTTGAACCAAGACCACAGCTTCGAAACTGAGAGTGGTACAGAGATGAATGGAACGGTCTATGCTGGGAGTGACGTTGAGGGACCGAATAAGAAACGAAGATCTGCGAAGAAGGACGAGTATTACTGATGTTGTGGAACGCATAGCGGAACTAAAATGGAACTGGGCAGGCCATGTAACGAGAATGCACGATTCACGATGGACGAGCAAAATTACAAATTGGAGGCCAAGAGCAGACAAACGCAGTAGAGGAAGACCACCTACACGTTGGGCCGACGACATCAGGCGTATCACTAAAAATTGGCAACAAAGAGCACAAAATCGTGAGGAATGGAGGAGTTTAAGGGAGGCCTATGTCCAGCAGTGGACGTGATAAATAGAGGCTGGATGATGATGATGATGACGATGAATTCTCATCTGGGTTTTGGATGTTTTCGCTTGTTCTTATTTCTTGCCGTAGTCGTCATATGGTATTAATCCGGTTCCGAGACTGTACATTGTTTCTTTGAGCAGTATTTCTTTTTACGATTGGTAGGTTGCTCACCTTACCAATTACCCTCCACATTTTATCCGGGCTTGGGACCAGCTGGGGTAACCGAAAAGCTACTCAATCCACCCCGCAATCACCTCAGGCAGTGTTAGATAAAGAAATCAATTGATATAATTATTAATATAAATAAATTTGAACCTTAGTTTTGTGCAGTAGTTTACCACACATTTTTTTCTTTCAGCAATGCCAAACAATTAGCCAATAAAATAACGACAACGTTTAAACTAAGCTCAGAACAACTAAGCAGCCAAGATCACTACGATTTTGGCATGAGAGCAGTAAAGACAGTAATAGCAGTAGCTGGGAATTTAAAACGAGAGCGGCCAGAAATGGACGAGAGTCAAATAGTATTAAGAGCATTGTTAGATGTCAATGTACCTAAATTTCTTAAGGACGACTTAACGTTATTTAGTGGTAAGGTATATTTGAGTTAATTTTTGGATAAATATGCTTCCGTTTTATTTGCTATGGGGGTTATTTTTTGTTGTGTATTTAGCATTTCTTATTTAAATAAGGTAATAATTATTAATACAACGTGGTTTTACATCATTAACCTTTATTCCCCATTAACTAACTAACTTCATTCCCTTGTGCCAGTGAGCTGTGTTGCCTACCTGTGTTGCCAAGTATATAAGATTTTTATTTCGTTGAACTTCTTCTGCTTCTTGTGCCGTCTTCTAACGAAGGTTGGCAATCACTTCTTAAAACGCTTCTTGATCTTTTGCAACGTGAAATATCTGTTCAACACTGAGGTTAGTCCAATCTCTGATATTCTTCAGCCAAGATTTCTTCTTTCTTCCCAAGCCTTTTCTTTCCTCTACCTTGCATGATGACTTGTAGCAGAGATTATTTATCGTTTCGGAGTATGTGGCCCAGATACGATGTTTTTCGTATTTTAATTGTATTCATAAGCTTTCTGCAATGTCCAACTCGTCTTAACACTTCCTCATATAAGACTTTTGCATTCCAAGGAATCTTCAAAATACGCCTATATAGCCACATTTCGAATGCCTCCAATTTTTTATAGATTGGGCTTTCAGAGTCTAAGCTTCTACCCCTTATAGTAGTTGCGACCAAACATAACATTTAACGAACCTCAATCTGATGGCCATACTCAATTTGTTGTTTGTAAACATTGACTTGTATTTAATAAAGCCTTTTCGAGCTATTTCTATTCTGACCTTTATCTTCTGCTCTTGATCTAACTGTGAGTTTATAATTGCTCCGAGGTATTTATAGTTTTCGACTCTCTCTAGGGGTTTACCCTCCAATGTCAGTTGTATGTTGTTAACAGGGTTTTTTGAGATCACCATGTATTTGGTTTTATTTATATTCATTGTTATTCCCATCTTTTTGCTTTCTCTGTTAATGATTTCCAGGAGAGTTTGTAAATCGTCTATATTCTCATCCATGATTGCGGTATCGTCTGCAAATCTTATGTTATTAATGATGCTCCCTCCAATCCTTACACCTTCAGTTCTTTCCCATAGTGCCTCCTGAAATATTAGTTGAGAGTAAACATTAAATAATTGTAGCGACATCACACATCCCTGTCTGACTCCTCTTTGAATTTACACCTGGTTTGTCTCACTATCTTCCACCCGTACGACCGCTGTTTGATTGTAGTACAGATTTTTGATTAAATTAATATCCTTGGGATAAAGGTGTATGTGTTTAAATGCATGTATGAGTTTACCATGTTGGACTCTATCAAAAGCTTTTTGGAAATCTGGAAATCTGGAAATTTGGAAATAACATATGAATACGTTTTTATTATATTCCGTGCATTCTTGTAATAGTACCGTCATTGCGCACAGTGCCTCTCTGGTTCCCATTCCACATCTAAATCCAAATTGTGTATTGTCTAATTGTTCTTCACATTTTTTATATACAGTGCTTTTCAGATAAAACTATCCACCTTAAATAACTTTTGAACCTCTAATTTTTTGGAAAAACGCAAAAACACGACAATTAATATCTGAAGAGGGAGACATATCATATTAAAGGTTGCTGGAAAATGCACCCTCTCACCCCCTGTATCAACCCTTTATTTTTTTTTAAATTACTTCCTCCTTTTTTGGTTTTATATATCGATTCTCCTTTTTGTTTTGATTTCAAAAATTTATAATACCTTTGGCTTGAAGTGATTAGTTTATCAGATAGACAATTTTCCTGTTAACAAGACAGTATCTCACCTCACCTTAATTGACTCTAGCAAAATAGGTTGTAGCATAATTTAAACTCTTTAAATATTTAACCGCATTATTTGCAGTACCTTTAAAAACCAAGTAACAAAAAAATTTACTTTTTATTCAAGTTTTATTAAAGGTTTTCGATATCATTTTTACATTTGTTTTAATCGGTTAATAGCGACAATTTGTTATAACTTGTAAGTAACAGCTTATTTTGATACGTGTGCGATTTGATCGCTGAAATGGTGTACACTTTGCAAGAAAGAATCGAAATTGTAGGTTTATACTACAAAAATAATTGTGCAAGAGCTGCTGCTAGAATTTTTAATGAAACACACCACAATAGACATGCAACTCATAAGTGTGTGATTGAACTGATGCAGAAAAAATTAGATCAAGAGGGTCAGTTTGCAATAAAAAACATAACCGACAGGAACTTGTAAATAAAAAAGCAATCCAAGTAGCTGTTTTAGGGCAAGTTAACTTAGACTCTTAACAATCACAGTCACTGTCAACAATAAGCAGAGTAATTGGTGTTTCATCTTCTACAGCCTTCCGAGTCCTCCATAAATTTAAGTTTTATCCATATAAAATTAAATTAGTACATGAGTTAAATGAAGAAAGTTTTGATCGCCGTCCCGAATGTTGCCAATAAAATGCATCATTAACAATCCACAATTGTTAAACAATATTTGCTTCTTGGATGAATGCTCATTCTCATTAAACGGTTTGGTGAACAGATATAATTGCCGATACTGGGCTGAGAGTGATCCACATATTGTACGCGAATTTCACACACAGCATCCTCAAAGGTTAAACGTATGGTGTGGTATCCTACGTAATCACATTATCGGGCCCTTCTTTATCACTGGAAACTTAAATAGTGCATCGTATCTTGAATTATATAGGCAAGTGGTTGATCGTTAGAACAATAGTAGCAAATGATGATAACCTTTCTGATCATTTGGTTGTATTTCAACATGATGGAGCTTCTCCACACTTTGCTTTACCTGTGCGATAATTTTCAAACGAAACGTTTCCCGGTCCTTGTATAGGTAAATCCAAAAGGATTGAACACCCCTAAACTTCTTCTTATGGGAGTATTTAAAAACAAAAATTATGCTACTCAACCAGAATATCTAGATCATTTACAATAAAGAATAGAGAATGAATGTCGACAATTAAATGCAGACGTGTTAAGAAATGTCAGAGAAGAATTTCAAAATAGATTGTACTATTGTATGGAAGTGAAAGGTAGTCATTTTAAACAATTATTGTAAACATTTTTAGTAGTGAAATGTTTGTCCTAAATGTGTGTAATAAAATTGATAAAAAATAATTTTTTTTTCAATCCAATTTTCTTGCTTTTGTATTAACTTTTCTCATAAACTAATCACTTTAAGTATCATGTATTATACATTTCTGAAATCACTACAAAAAGAGGAATCCAAATATAAAATAAAAAAGGGGAAGTAATTAAAAAAATAAAGGGTTGATACAGGGGGTGAGAGGGTGCATTTTCCAGCAACCTTAAATATGATATTATGCCTCCGCCTTCAGATATTAATTAAAGTGTTTTTGCGTTTTTCCAAAAAATTAAAGGTTCAAAAGTTATTTAAGATGGATATTTTTATCTGAAAAGCTCTGTATACGCTGCTGAATAACTCGTTAAACTACCTTTTTTTAATTAGTATGGCGAGCACTTGTTTTTGTATGTATTTTCTACAACACGTTGAGATGTTTTTCTTCATTTAATTTTCGGCAATAAATATTGGACCCACAATATACTTATCCGGTATACCTCGCCTCATATTTAACTTTTAAGAGATTTATTTTATTTAATTTTCCTTTTACGATTTTAGTTTTCTCTTATCACCATTTTATAAAACTTCTGGTTGATCCTTGCCTTAGTCTATTTTTTATTAATTTTAGGTATTGTTTCGGATCTCTTTCCTAGAATGACTGAGGAGGAAGTAGATCATGGAAATTTGGAGAAAGCTATAAGAGCATCGTGCATTAAGCTTGGTTTGGAAGACATAAACGGTTAGTACATACATAATTTATATTTTTTTCTTCAAACGTTAAATAATGATGACATTATTTATCTAACTTAATCGTGTCAAACTTTGATGTCTCCGCCGGCAGCAGTTTTTTTCCCATTTCTTTACTGCGGAGGGAAAAATGTTGTCATGTCAACAATATGAAACATACCACAAAGCAACAATACAAATGACATTAACATCAATTAAACATCATTTTTATTTATAGTAATATTAAAAGTACAATTAGTTAATGAGGCATTTTCAAAATTGAAACCGTGCAAATACGCATTGGTAATTGTTGATGATACTGATGGTCGAGAACAACTTTCAGCAATCATTCCCGATGTTGGCGGCTTGCGAACAACAATAAGCTGTCTTTAATAATTGCAAACAACTGTCAAACAACTGTAACCAGGGAGACGCAAATCCCACCGACGACTTAATTATTTTAATTTCTAACATCTAGACGACTTTGATAGTTGTCACAGTTTTCGAGTAAAAATAGCGTATAAATTGTACTATTTATGGTTAAAACTTGCTACGTTTGAAGAAAAAATAGTATACTTTATTCGGCAAAGACGCGACTTTTCTTGACTTGCCCTCTATTACGCGCCGAACGAAGTGATATCGGGCGCGTCATGAAAAGTCATGCTTCTCCGCCTCATAAAGTAATATACTATTTATTATATGGTTTATAAGTGTAATAGTGTAATGATCACCAATACCGACGGTAATATGTCAAATCTGATATTAGCCTTATTAGTTTAACATTTTAATGATGAATGTGTTCATAAATTTGTCATGTGAAGGTGACTAAGGGATAAAAACTCTGGTATTATGTAATTATGTAATAATAGTAATAAATTACTTTGTTTAATTTATATTTTGAGAACCATTTTCGATGTGGAAATTGAAAAGTGAAAATAAACGCATTTTTAATGAAAATTGTGATTAGTTCTTGTCCAAGATAGTAAATAATATTAAAATGCCACAATAATATAGCTTCAAAATACAATTACTTTAATATAGGATAGAGCTTAACGAAGTGATGATTTCTATAGTTACCATAAGTTTATACGTTCAGCTAAAGAGGAAAGAACAGTGAAATTTAAATCACTTAAATAAATCCATGTGGAGTTTTCTGTCTTTTATCGGACGCGTCCCCAGGCAGTGAATTGGAGAACGCCCTAACCATCCTGGGACCGGCGGGTAGGTGGAAAATAAAATAACACCCGCGAACCAAAACACACTAAAATATGGTAATCTATAACATGAGTCTGGCGGTTGGGTTTAGGGATAACAACCCTACCCTGGAGAAAAGCATTGTTATGAGAGCTGAAAAAACACAAACCGAACGGACCTTATATAGACGATCTGGTAAACATAAAAAGGATATTCGATCTGGATTATGAAACATGAAAAAAGTACTTTATAAGAGGAATTAGATGCCTTTTAGATACTGTTAACAAATTTATTATAGACGTAACAGCTATACAGAAGGCACGATGAAAAGGGACCCTACAATCCAAAATAATTTAAATACAATATACTATAGGGTAATTGCCCTAGTAGTCGGCACGGGCCCAGTTATTGGTACTTTGAAAATTCTTGCTGTTTTATAAGAAAAGGAGAAATCAGTAAATATTAATCAGTACGCTATTTGTTAGATAGCGCATTCTTGTTTTTGGGTAATGTAGCTATTAGTTTTGTATTTGCATATGGCTGCAGACGTTGGCTTGCGATTGTTGACCCCATCGTACAAGGTAAGTTTCTTAACAATTTTTTTAAGAATGCAGTAGATTGGTGATGTGCTTTTATTAGCCACTGTCCATTTTAAGTGCAGTATTTAGTAATGCCACGTAAAAAAATACTATTTTACTGAGATCTTGCGTTTATTTTCATGTATTTTTAAAGTGGTTAATAAAAATAAAAGAGTGCCGATTACTAGGTCTTGGGAAAATTATTGGCGCTCGTGGCAATAACTGAAACTTCGGAATTACTGGTAAGATGGAGTTATCGGCATTAGTAATATTAATTGACTTTTCCATTAATAATTATTAAACTTATAAGATGATTTCATATAGATATGAACAAATAATTATTTTTTTTGTAAAGTGATTATTCCACTGTTTTTTTTTGCAGATTGTTTACAATGCTAAAGGTCAAAAGAAATACTTAATATCAGAAATGATATAACGAGGAAGTCTTACAGAGTGCTTCAACAGACATTGGAAATAGAATGCCTAAGAAACTGGCAGCAAGGAAATATGCAAGTCCCCGACAAACCCTTCGACATTGACAGAGTGACAAATTCAAAAAAATTAGCCACGGGTCTGCAACGTACTTAACAAGACAACAGAAAGATGTGTTCGAGGAGTGGATTACTGACTGTAATAGGAAAAGTTTCCCGAGAAGAAGGGACGATATTCAGTATTCAGTAAAATCTTTCTTGGACGCTGATACACGTAAGATTTCATTCAAGGACAACCAACCTAGGAGGCACTAGTATCAAGTCTTCTTGAAGCTTCGTCCATACTTGAAACTAATATCTCTGAGGCAACTAAAGCAAGCATCTGCGTTTCTGAAAGGACATAAAAAACTGGTTTTCTAATATCGAAAATTATTTAAAAAAGAAAAAATATTTTAATATATTGCAATATCCAAAAAGAATGTTTAACGGGGACGAAACTTGTTTTCTCTTTTGTTCTAAGGAGGATAAAGTTGTTGCTCCTCGCAGTGCTAAAAATGTTTACCAGATGAATAAAGGAACAGCAAAGGTCAACAGTACTGTTCACTTTCTTAGCTGCTGGCTTAGTAACTCCACCGATGATCATTTACCCTTATAAGAGGTTTCCCGCTACTGTTAGTAAAAGTGTTTCTGATACGTGGGGAATAAGAACAAGTCACAATGGCTAAATGAAATCTGAATCATTTGTAAACTATATTTCAAATAGACTCCATCCCTATCTTTGCAAACATGAAATACATGAGACATGGGGAATCTAAAATTTGCATTCCACGACATGTCTCCTCAACTAAGCAGAAATCCTTAGCAAATTGGTTTCTTGTACTCATACAGAGTAGATCTAAATAAAATGAAAAAGACAGTAGAGATTTTAGATTCCCATGTCTCTATTAACATCTTCATCAACGTCTGTTTGCCTTGAAATATTTTGAAGGTTCAGATTAAAGCAGAAATCTGAATTGGTTTCGAAACTATTTACCGATTTGTTATCAGATGTGGCTGTAGCGTCCATATCGAAGCCATTTTAATGTTGCTTCTTGAAGACAGAAAAGATTTAATTTTCACGTGGGAAACGCCTATAAACAACTGTTCTGATTAGCCATATTAGGGCGAAATAGGTATAAACAGACACATAGACGCTTTGTACGTGAAATCAAATCTTTACTGTCTTTTTCACCAAATTTTGATTTTATATGTTTGATATTTAAGAAACAAATGATGTATTCTCGATATGTTACTGACTTACTAATACTGCTATTTTCCTTTTAATAACCTCCTCTTTTAATATGGGTAACCAAATCCTACTACATTCTGCTGAGGAATTTGCGACACAATTGGTCTTGTTTAGCATTTAAAGAATTTTACTATCATCCTGGCATGTGGCTGTCTTTTTAAAGACGAGTTACATGCTGTAATTTTTTCTGATGGATATTCTCAAGTTAAAGTTCGAATCGAATGAACTGTCTTACAAGTAAAGTCGTCCCAAGAACGCAACTCAACAATATTGGCAATATCATTTTTAAATCGTCTACTTTAAAATGTATCTATATGTATTTCTGAATTGTCAATATAAATAAGTCAGATACAATTAATTATTAGAAGAATTTTTCACTAAGTAACGAAAAAACAAAGTTTGTTTAATTTACTAATGTTTTTATTTTGAGAACGATTTCCGAAGTGAAAATTGAAATGTGAGTAAACTTACTTTAACCTTTAATTGTAGCTTATTCCCACTTAAATCGTAAATACTTTTCTGTATATGTGTCATTTCTAAAAATAACGGCTTTTGTACATTTTTCTGTGTCTCTAGAATTAAAGCTTTTGAAAAATGAAATGTGTGATTTAGATTGATGGAGTGGTCGGCTAATGCACAAGGTTGTGACACAAAATAATAAACAATCAGAATGGACACTCTCAGAGGCGGCCTTTGAAGTTTGTCAGCACGCGAACGCCATGTTTCAGACGGAAACATAGACTTGAATTGAGAAATTTGGGACAAGCTACGACGGAACTGTAATTTAAATTTTTAGAGATTAAAAGTTTAGTACATTTGAAATAACTTAATCTATTCTTCATTTAAAATTACGAATAAAATACTTAGTGAATATTATGTCTGCAGTTGCGGTAAATTAATTAAACCGGGTTAATTTGCTATGCACACCAGATAAAATGTCACTGAACAGCACTGGTTCCGTTTAAAACATGGCTGATTCCCAAGAACAGTTGACTACATAGGATAGTTCCATCGCCCAAATTTTTCTGTCACTGCAACACGCGACTGTGACGTAGGTGTGGGGATGACGAGCAATTATCGACCTTATTGTTACTATTAATTTTTACCGAAGATGAGCCTAATTTGAGAATAAAAAGTTTAAAACGGAAAATTTACGTTTTGTTTTTGTAAATAAATGGCAGATAATCAGATTTTTAACAGTTACTAAGACATTCAGACTTAGAAATTCTTAATGATCTGTTTTACATGGCAAATAAAATTTCTCTATAAATCCGTGTTTTACTTAGGTAGTGAGAGCACAAGTTATTATCCAAAAACATTTGATTATAGATAAAACTATTCAATACTAAACTATTTATTTCATAAACATACATACATATATACATATTATAGGTAAAACTAAACAGTATACAATACTAGCATATACTAAAAAACTTTAGAAATATTGCCTAGGGACCAATTTTATTTAATTTTCTAATGTTTGACCTAGTTGAATCCAACACGGAGGAAGTTTTTTTGCTTC